AAATATATCTTTATTGATTTCAGAGAGAGGAAAGGAGAGGGAGAGAAGGAGATAGAAACATCAATGATGAGAGAGTCATTGATCGGCTACAGCCCACAACCAGGGCATGTGCCCTGACCGGGAATCGAACCCCGATCGTCTGGATCCTAGGTCAATGCTCAACAGCTGAGCCACGCCTGGCCGGGCAGTTTGGAGAACTCTTAAATTTTGTCACTGGTAGAGATCTGGAAACAGTGTCAGTCTACCTTACCTTCTAGTGGCCCCGGGCCTGTGGAACGGAGCATGTACTTTTGTCGCTGTCTTTGTGTCTCGCCTCCCTTGGCATCTAGTCTCAGAGAGGCTGAGAGATTCCTGTGGGGCTCAGTCCTCACGACCTGGTTGTCAGCCTTATGAGACTTGAGGCCCCTCTGTGTTCCACTGTCCCTGGGTTTCATCATGCCCCGTCCGCAGAGATGAGGTGGGGCTTGGGAATATGGGCTCATGGGATTCGATCCCTTTTCACTACTTCAGTTACCTTGCTGGGGTTGGGAAACTTCTGGAGGTGAGAGGTGAGATGAGTAGGGATGCCAAACGCAGGAGAGAAGCCCTCAGGGGACATGTCTTAGCGCTTGCAGGCTGCCCCAGGGTTTGGGGCCACCAGGGGTGGGCAGTTGGTGAGAAAGCATTGCTGACAGAAAGTGGCTTTTTTTCATGTAGCAGATGGCTGAGGACAAGGCCTCGGTGAAAGCCCAGGTGACATCCTTGCTGGGGGAGCTCCAGGAGAGCCAGAGTCGCTTGGAGGCTGCCACCAAGGATCGGCAGACTTTGGAGGGCAGGTGAGCGAGGAGGGAAAACCCACCCTGGAGGCCTCTGTCGGGGCACCTGAGAAGAATGAGGCTGTTTAGGAGCCTCTGGGGGTTCATCTGTGAGAGGATGGACTGCAGGACTTGGTGAGTGAGCACATGGGCATTGGGGCAGGTGCTTAGCTGAGCTATGAACCAGGCGTCTGGGGCCTGGGTCCTAGCAGCACTTCTGGGCTCTCTCACCTTCTGCTGGAGTTTGAATTATTTCCTTAGGGGACATTTTCAGGGGTCAAGAGCATAGCCATGATCCACAGAGAGCCTCTGGAAGCACTCCCAGTGCCCTCATGGCTGAGATTTATTACATGGAAAGGGCACAGGTCAGGGGTAGAAAACCCCAGGCCTTAGGTTTGCTGGTTTGCTCCCTCCCTCCATCCTGTGAGAGGCACTGAGCTCTCCCTTCTTTAGCAGTGAAAAATGCATCACTGCAAACCCAGGGAACCCACTTGGCATCCAGCGCCCTGGGTTTTATTGGGGGCTGGTCATGTGAGCCCCCTGTGCCAGGCATGCACCAAATTTTCCATCTCCCAGAAGAAAGCAGGTGATTTGCATAAATCACCCTATTGTGCAAGCAGTCCAGACACAGGGAGCACTGTTATCACTAGGGAAAGCATCATGTCAGCCTAGGGGACTTCACCAGCCCACTGCCCAGGTGCCACCTGAGGGCCAACCTTGCAAGCAGCACCTCCGAAGCTGGTCTCCTCAGGCCTGCCAGTTGCTCTTTTCTGTAAAGGGGAGGTCCCCATAAGTGAGGTCACTGGGTCAAAGGGCATGGATTTTCTATGGTTCTATGCCACCTAGCTGCTGCCCTCCAGAAGGATGTCCTGCTGATAGGGGTGGCCCCAGCTCTCCCAGTGCAGTAGTGATCAAGATGCACTGGGTGATGTCAAGGACACCCTCCTGAAAGCGGCCAGAGGAGCAGTCAGGAGTTTTCCCCTCCCATCAGTGGAGCGATATGGAAGACTGTGAATGCGCTTCCACCTAGAAATCAGACTGAGAGGGAAGGCATCGGAAGGCTGAGCCTCCTTGTCTCTGGCTCGTCCCATTCTGGTGTTTTCGCCTGTATACTCTTCTGTACTTCAGTGTTTCTAAAATCACGTGTTGTTTTTAGAACAGTTTGGCGTCTCTCTTGCCTATCTTTTCTCTGTGCACATAAAAGGAGCTGCTGGAGGACTGACGCTGTCAGTGCAGTTTTACAGCTAACTCGGGTCACTTAACCACCCTGCGGGGGCGTTTACTCTGGTGATTATAGGCTCTTGGGCGGCCTCTTTTCCTGTTCCTCCCCAATGTGGTTGAGCATATAATTGCTGAGCTGGACTACTCAGGGCACAAAGCCTTGCTTGCATCTCAGATCATTCGGTGTGGCCATTTAAACAGCTTCAAACTTCATACACATGGTTGCCCTCTGAGCCCCTGGCCTGTCACATTGGAATGGCCCTCCCCGTTTCCTAGGACCCTGGCAGGTGGCAGTTCCATCTGGGGATGATGGTAACAGCACCGAACTTTTATCCGAACACAGATGGAAATGTGTGTTCAATATATTTGGACAGGTGTGGAAAAACAGACCAGTGAAAACCCCCAGTAACCTCCCCCCACCCAGAAACACTAACCGTTACCCTCACTGTGGGGACTGTGGAAGGCCTCAGGACATCAGGATGACATGGCTGGAACCTGGAACTGGAGAATTAGGGTGTTATGAGTGTGGAGATGGGAGATTGGGGACTGGGGGGCAATACGGGGCCTGGATCAGAAGATCCAGGGGAGAAGAGATGAGCTGTTATAGCGGGAGTGTAGAGGGAAAGAGGAATTCTCTGCCGAGGCTATTGCTGTCTCCTAGGCAGGCAGGTGGGAGCCTCTCCTTACAGGTGTGGATGTTTGATCTCCAAATGAGCCATTGACATGGGCCAGCCACCTCCTTGCCACTTCTAGAACAGTGCCTGGGAGGGAAAGAGTTGCCTGAGCATACCGACTGCCTCCTCTTCCAGCTGCCCCACCCCATTTCTTACCTTGCCCCCACCCCCTTCTAGAAAGGCTTATTTTTGCTCGCTGCCTTCACTTTCTCTCCTCCCAGTCTTTCCTGACTCCTCCACTGAGACTGTTCTGGCTGGGGCCCCCAGCACCCACCTGTTGGAACCTAACAGGTGGTTCCTGGGAACTCCTCTCCCCTGGCCCCAGCAGCATCCTCTTCTGGGATCACTACTTTCACCTTTGAAGGGGCTTCCATAATGGAAGTCTTCAGGCTGAACCTGAGCCCCAGGTCTCCTTGCCACCTGCACTTGATTGCTAGACAAGCCCCTGCATTGATACAAACATGTTGTTGCTAACCTGGTGCCCTGCAGTTGTCCCTGTCTCCAGTGACAGTGCCTCCTCCTTTCTCACAGTGTGTTGGGTCTGCACTGTGTTAGGTCTGCATTGACAGGATGTTCTGAACCACGACTCCTCCCCGTGCCCTACACCCAGTGCCCTTCCTCTCCCCTCAGACTGCAGAGCTTCTAGTGCTCTCTGGCTTCCACCTTCCTTCTGCTGGCAGTCCTTCTCAGCACAGCAGGGATCCTGTGCGCACCCTCGTTCCTGCTGGGGGCCCTACCATGACCTCCCTGTTCCCCCATGCCAGGGCCCGGGCAGCCAGTGAGCAAGCCCGGCAGCTGGAGAGCGAGCGGGAGGCACTGCAGCAGCAGCACAGCGTGCAGGTGGACCAGTTGCGCATGCAGAACCAGAGCATGGAGGCTGCTCTGCGCATGGAGCGCCAGACTGCCTCAGAGGAGAAGTGAGTGGGTGCCCGACATGGCAGGGATGGAGACCAGAGGGAAGTTGATGGCTTTCTACCTTTGGAGGATCCCTTCTAGGGACTGTCTGTGGCTGAGGGCCGGATTTGTTCCCTTACCATTAGCACACCCAAATGATTCATCTTTAAATGATAACATTCTCTATTCTCCAGTCCACATTCAGACTCCACTATTTGGCCCATGTATTAACAGCATCTGGTCCAGTATTCTTCATTCATTTTGTTGGTGTGCCTTTTAATAGTCCTGCCTTTCTATGTTTTTCATGAAGTTGACTTTTTTTAAAGAGTGCAGGACAGTTCCATTTTATTATAAACATTTCTTTTCATACTTGAAAGTATGTTAGTTTTAAGGAAAATTATACTATTTAGCCAAGTCTGCGTCGGAGCTGATAGCCTTTAAGGCACAAATGCGCCCTGGGAGCCCCCTTTGGGTTTGTGGAAGGAAGAAAGGGTGGAATTAGAAGCAGGAAAAGCTGTGGCTGGTCCAGGACAAGGTGATTTCTCCAGCAAAAGCTCCTTTTTCTTAGGCGGAAGCTGGCCCAGCTACAGGTAGCCTATCACCAGCTCTTCCAAGATTATGACAATCACATCAAGAGCAGCATGGTAAGCAGCGAGCGAAACCGAGTGAGTATGGCAGGGACATCCCGAGGACTGCCTAGGACTGAGCTTGCCCTGGTTCCTCTCCCATTGGGCCTGCTCTCCCAAATTCGGGGATATTAGCTTTCAGGAGGGATACTGGACTTGTCCTAGAGTTTTGTCAGGGCTGCCGTGTGATGGCTCAGGGCAGGCCACGAGGAGATGAGGAACTTGGGCTGTGCTGCTTCCTGCCTATGGCGGACTGGGTTGGGTCTCTGGATGCCCCCTCCATGGGCTGAGTCCTCTTGCTAGCCATCACCAGTTTGGCTCCTGGCTCTAATTTCCCCAGGAATGTTTCCATTCTAGTGTTGAAGTTGGCTGGGAGCCCTTTTCTAGTTTGTCCGTATTAAACCTGTACTGGGTTTGGTTTCTAGCAATCACATTTTAAGAAGGAGCTTGTCATACATGAAGATACCCAGAAGAGACTTACAAGGGTAAAGCCTGAAACAGGTTATACAGGAAGAGTTAAATACAAAACTGTGGCCCTTTGATGAGGGAAGGCTGGGTGGTGTTTGTGCGTGCGTCTGTGCATGTGTCTGTTTGTTTGTGTGTGTGCCCATGTGTTTGTACTGTGTCTGAGTGCACCTGTGTATGTGTTTCTGTGTGTGAGTGCATATGTGAGTGTGTGTGTGTGTCTATATGTGGACTGTCTGTGAGGGACCAGAAGACCTTTGACCAGATGGCAGAGTGGAAGGACTGCTGGGTGTTGGCTTAGCGGGCACATGGTGGGTTGTTAGTTTGGGAGACCAGTCAGCGTGGAGTGGGCAGCCTCAGGAGGGAGTGTGGCCCCTGTCCTTTGAACGGTTGGAGGTGGGCTGTCCAGCTGGGGATTCTGGGAAGGGAATGTCAGCCTGGGTGGGAGGTTGTGCCAGATGACCTCAGAGGTCCTCTTTAGTCTCCACCTTTCCTGTGCCCTGCACACACATCTTGTGGTTGGCTGGCCAGCTGGGTCTGATCTTTTGTTCCTCTTGGTTCTTCTCGCCTGAAGTAGCAGCCAGCCTGGTGGTGGCATGGCCCCAGCCCTGTGCCAGCTTGGCTTTGTCAGCTCCCCTTTCCCATCCCTAGGGAATGCAGCTGGAAGATCTCAAGCAGCAGCTCCAGCAGGCCGAGGAGGCCCTGGTGGCTAAACAGGAAGTGATCGACAAGCTGAAAGAAGAGGCTGAGCAGCACAAGATTGTGATGGAGACTGTTCCAGTGCTGAAGGCCCAGGTGAGGGCTCTGTGTGGTCTACATGTGGGTGAGCAGACCAAGCCCACTGATGCTGGCACCTGGCATATCTCTGGTATCATTTTGCAGTGGCTTCTTGGAAGCCCTTGAGCCCCTTGCACTGTTCCTTGACCTCTCAGTGCACTTGGGGACTCTTTCTGTGCCATGGGCTGTGGGAGGGTAGGAGCGGGATCTGCCTTCCCCTCCTAGTGCTCAGCACGGAGTGTCCAATGAGTGGCTGATGGGTGGTGGGCACATTCCCCTCTCTTGGCTTTGCCAGGCGGATATCTATGAGGCAGATTTCCAGGCTGAGAGACAGGCCCGGGAGAAGCTGGCCGAGAAGAAGGAGCTCTTGCAGGAGCAGCTAGAGCAGCTGCAGCGGGAGTATAGCAGGTTGAAGACCAGCTGTCAGGAGTCTGCCAGGTAGGCCTTGGAGCACATGCTCCATGAAGAGGGGTATGGGTGCCGTGGGGCCTCCAGTAGTAAGCGCAAGAGACTGAGTGCTCCTGGCTAGTTGGTAGGCTGAGCTGGCCCTCCGTCTCCCCTCCTGGTGCCCTTCCATTAGCTTTGTACACCACTCGGAACTTGGCTTGCACATACTGATTGGATGGTTTCTCTTCTCAAAGGATTGAGGATATGAGGAAACGGCATGTAGAAGTCTCCCAGCCCCCCTTGGCCCCTGCCCCAGGTGAGTGAGCTGCAGGGGAAGGGGTAGGGGAGGGCAGGGTGCTGGCAGCATGGGGAGCCTGGGTGGTGGGAGCTTGAATTGGCTGCCCCTCCTCATCAGTACCCCCCATCCTAGGGTTAGGATGCTAAAGGGAGGGTGCTAGTGGTGGTGACCCTGGTAGTTGGATCAATTGTCCCTCAAGTACTTTCTGTCCCCTTCCCTACCTGCAGTTTGTGCTATAACTGGTGTCCATTTTCTTTCTGTAGCTCACCAGTCCTTTCACTCTGCCTTGCCCAGCCAGAGGAGAAGCCCCCCGGAGGAGCCACCTGACTTCTGTTGCCCCAAGTGCCAGTACCAGGCCCCTGATATGGACACCCTGCAGATACATGTCATGGAGTGCATTCAGTAGGGCCACCTGCTGATGACCAGTCTAGGACAGTGCAATCTGTGCTTTCCTCTCCTACCTGCCTAGTCCTGAATTACAGGCTAGGTGACGAAGAGCAGGCCACTTCTTTGAGCCCCAAGAGCTAGCTGCAGGGACTTATGCTTCAGCTTCCCTATCTGCTGGTTTGCCTCTTTTAGGGTACATGGAATCCCAGCTAGGCTTGATGCTTTGCTCTTTCTATTTGTTCTGTCTGCTTGAACCACTTGCCTCTTGGACTCTCTCCTCCACCTCCGTTGGGGAAGTCAAGAATCAAGGCCAGGGCTCTTAGAGAGAACTTCTCAGCCTGAGATGGGAGGGGGCCCTTCCAGCCCAGCTCTAGCCCACTGGGGTGCCGGCGCGCTTGTGCGCTGTGTGCTATTCCACTGGGAGGCTGCACCACGGCATTTGCATTGTTGCCAGTCTTTTTATTGTCATAAATAACTCTGCAGCGAAAATCCATGTGCATCAATTATGTGTGTCTTTGGGTCAGATTCTTAGAAGCAGCTGCACTGATCATCTGCAAATGGGTTAGATCGTCCCACTACCCCCCAGTGTGGTTTCCTACTCTCTCCTTGTTCCCCATAGCCTTATCCCAGTGAGAGGTGTCAACCTGTGGGCTTTTGCCATCCGCCAGGCATGTACTTCTCTGTTAAGTGTGAGCTTGAGCCCTGGCCAGTGTGGGTCAGTGTTTAGAGCATCAGCCTGTGCACCGATGGGTCATGGGTTCGATTCCCAGTCAAGGGCACATACCAGGGTTGCAGGTTTGATCCCCGGCCTGGTCGGGGCTTGTGCAGGGGGCAGCCAATCGATGTGTCTCTCTCACATTGATGTCTGCCTCCCTCCCTCCCTCATCACTCTCTCTAAAAAGCGATGGAAAAGATATCCTCTGATGAGGATTAAAAAAAAAGTGAGCTTGAGCATCTTTCAGAGCTTCAGGGGTCCTTTTTAATTCTGGCTTGAATGGCTTGTTTGTATTTCTTGCCCGTTTTTCTCTTGGGCCATTAGTCTTTTGTTTCTTGGTTTGCAGCAGCTCTTTGGTCATTAGTGGGATCAGCTCTTCTGTGTGGTGAGAGTTGCAATGATCTTTTCCTGCTGTGAGTTTGTACGCGTGTTTTGGACTTAAACTTTGTTATCTTTGTGTAGTCACATTTACCCACCTTTCCTCCACTGCTTTGGGTTTGGAGTTGGGGCCACCTAGGAATATTTCCTAGGATGTCAAAGCCATGGGCATTAACCCTGCAATGTTGCAAAAGAAAGGACGTTGAAAGTGGAGGAAGAATATACATAATTTACTCCTTGGTGCCCTGGCCCTTGGTCCTGCCTTCCTCTAAGCTCCCCTGGGTAGGATTGGAATGTTGCAAATCCATCCCTGGGCTTTCTCACAGTGTTTTCTGTTATTTGTCAGTGAGAGGGTTGACTAAAAGTAGGATTTAAGTCTAGTGCTGGAAGATGCCTAGCAGGCCATTCTGAAAACAAGCCTGGACTGGGGGGTTTCTTGGCATCTCCAGGGGTGGGAGTACTTCCATTTCCTGAAGCCCAGGTGTCTAAGTGCAGATTGTAGTTGGGGAAAAAATTAAAGGCACAGTCAGGTGCTGTATTTCAATCCTAATCCGGCAGTTTTTTTCAAGAGCACTTGATTTTTGGAGATGTATTAGTTTCACCATGGCTGCTGTAACAAATGACCGAAAGCTTGGTGACTTAAAACACCAGGAATTTGCCCTGGCCAGGTGGCTCAGTTGGTTGGAGTGTCATCCCATGCACCAAAAGTGTGTGGGTTTAATTCCGTCAGAGCACATGCCTGGGTTGTGGGTTCGATCCCCAATCGGGGCACATATGGGAGGCAACTGATTGATGTTTCTCTCCCTCTCTCCCTCTCTCCCTCTCTCCCTCTCTCTCCCTCTCCTACTCTCTCCCTTCCTCTCTCTAAAAATCAAAACATATCCTCAGGTGGGGATTAAAAACACACACACCAGGAATTCATTCTTTCACAGCTTTGGAGGCCAGAAGCCTGAAATCCAGCTGTGGGCAGGGTTGGTTCCTTCTGAAGAATCAGTCCAGGCCTCTGTCCCAGCTTCTGGTGGCAGCCCTTGGTGTTCTTTGCTTGGTAGATGCATCATTCCACTCTTTGCTTCCATGGTTACATGGCTTCTTCTCTGATGGTATCTCCTCTTCTGTCTCTTACAAGGACACAAGTCATTGGATTTAAGGCCCACCTATGTCATCCAGGAGGATCTCAGCTCAGGGTGCTTACCTTCATTACATCCACAAAGACCATTTTTCCAAATAAGGTCACATTCACAAGTTCTGGGAGTCAGCACCTGTGTATATCTTTTGAGGCCACCAATTCAACCTAGTATGGGGGCATTTTCTGGAGTGCACAGATTAGGACAAGTGCAGTCACAGGCAGGCATCTCCAGGACCTGCAGCTATGTGAGAGGGCATGTTCTCCAGGGTGATGATGGCCAGTGGGCTGCAGAGGCAGATGGTGCTCTATGGCAAGGAAAGCTTGAGTTTGGTGTGGGCCAGGTCCTTGCAGGCATGGGGACTGTTGTTCCTTAGGACTTTCTGTCTCCAGCTGATCGCTGCTACTGGAGCCAGCAGATGTGGGTGGGAGAAGGGGGTAGGCTGCAGTTGGACCGCCTGTGCCCTAAGTGGTGGCTACTGGCTGTCTAGGGATGGGCTTTGTGCTTCTAACAGGGTGAACAAAGGCGTGTAGGAGCCCTTCTCTGACCGGCTCCCTCTTCTGAAAGGGGTTTCAGAGAAAGAAAGTGAAACACAGGAGCAGTGAGAGAGGTGGACATTCTCTTCCTGGGAACTTTCCTCAGGCTTTATTGGTGGCACCCATGTGGGCTGCACAACAGCAGCAGCTGGGAGCTTTACACATGTTCCTGCCTGGGTCCTGGACCACCCGAGTCAGGGTCTGGGCAGTGGCTGGGAACTGTTGCTCTTGCGAACCTTCTCTTCTGCCTCCTTCCTTCCGTAGGGCCAACTCCACGCGCCACACCAGAGATTTTGAACCAGGCTGTTTGCCAAGAAGAGAGAGATTCTGCTTTCTTCCTTTCTGGCTTTACTTAGGTTGGGCTTCCAGAACAAGTGGTGGGATTCTTCCTGTGAGGGGAGTAGCCTGCATTCCTTATTAGCTGTGGCCCCTGATTTTCATGATCCTGGCTTTGGGAGATAGCTAGCTAGCTAGAAGCACATCCTGCGAGAACCAATGTTATTCCCTGTTGCTCACACACATGCCCCCTCTGTTACCTGCTGCTCGATGCTCAAGAGAAATCCAGATGGCCAGTAAAATAAGCACAATAAGAAAGCATTTCTTTTTCACTAGTAACTAAAACAACACAGACTCCAACGAAACTAAAAGTAATTTCAGAGCGCAACAAATGAAGACTTCTGGTGCCCTGCTGGCGACGTGCAGTGGAAAGGCCTGTGACGCCACTCCTGTGTGGACCAGTTTAGTGGAATGGAACATCCTCAACCTGTTTAACTGTAAGACAGTCAGGTACACACAGTGACTTTGGCATTGTAGAGGTGCTCACTGCACCATCTGATTTGTAGCTGCCAAAAGTGAAAGAAGAGGCTACACTTTTGGACCAGATGGGCCTGTGCAGCCAGTTTTATGAACATCTTATGATACGGAACACACTCTGTAGCATGTTGGTGTGAAAAAGCCAGTAGACAAAACTAAGTATAAGGTGTGACCCCAGTAAAAAACTAAAAGCTGCAGATGCACACCCTGCTACCATTTGGGTGGGAAATGGTATTGTCATTGTACTTTCTAAAATAACAAGGCCTTGTCTCTTAGGGATGCAAACTGCAGTACTTACGTGTGAAATTTTATGATGCTATATTAAGTGAGCTGTGAGAGCATTCACAATTTTTCTATATAAAAGTTTGTATAACATTAGGAATATCTGCTCTTTGAATACTTGGTAAAACTACTTAGACCTAATGGATTTCATGTGGATGAGGGTAGATTTTAAACCACTGATTCAATTTCCTTGAAATTGAATTTAGTTGTACTCAGGTATTTCTTGAGTAAGTTATATTTTCCTAGAACAATGTTCAGTTAATCACTTTTCAAATTTACTGCAATAAATTTATTCTATCATTAGAAATCTCTGCTATACCTGTATTATGTACTGTTTACTCCTAACATTTCTATTCAGGTCTAACTTTAAAAAATCCCTCTTTCCAAATGTTTTTTTCTCTTTTTGAAGATGTCTAGGAAATCCTTTTAAAAATGTTCCAGCCCTGGCCGGTGTGACTCAGTGGGTTGGAGTGTTGTCCCATGCACCGTAAGGTCGGTTCCTGGTTAGGACACATACCTGGGTTGGGGGTTCGATCCCCAGTCACAGTGTATGTGGGGGGCAACCAATCGATGTTTCTCTCTCACATGGATGTTTCTCTCCCTTCCCCTTCCTCCCACACCGGTTTGTGCTTTTCAAGCTCCTGTTCATGCTTTTCAAGCTTCTCTACCCAAACACACATGAGGCAGGGTGTGGGCAGTGAGCAGTATAATAGGCCACAAATGTATATTCCATAGCTATTTTAACCAGTCCCCTATGTATAGGCCTTTATGCTGTTCTCATTTCTCAGTATTATAAATAGTGCTGAAATGAATGTCTTGGTACATTTGTTTTTGTGCAATAGATATTTAGAAGGGGCATTGTTAGATTGAAGTATAAGCCCTTTTAAAAGTATTTGATACATATCAACAAATTGCCTCCCAAAGTTTGCACCAATTTGAACTCTAACCAATAGTGCATGAAAGTCACCATTTTCCTACATCCCATCTCACATAGAATATGTACAGGCCTTTACATCTTTGTAAAACCAAATACACATAGTGACCAAAATCATATCTCAGTGTTGTTCCACTTTCCTTTTGATTTTAATGTAATTGAATGATAATGTGTATGACATTTGCCCAGTGGCATCTGATCTTCTGAGGACTGTCTATTTGGGACAGTCATGTTTTTCCTATTGATTGGTAAATGCTCTGCACATGTTCAGAATATCCAGTCTTTATCGTAATTGGAAAATACTTTTCCTACTCATTGCTTTATTTTTAACTTTGTCCAAAGTCCTTTTGTATACATAAATTAAAAATGTAAATGTATTCAAGTGATCAGTTAGTTTAAATTTTTGTTTTTGTTTTTGTGTGTTTATTTTGGCCTAAAATATTACAGATGTCCCTTTAAGTGATCAGTTTCTTCATTATGTTTTCTGGATGTTGTGTCCTATGAAAAATTGATGATAAAATTAAAAGTCTTCACTCACAAGATCCTTTAGCTCTTTAACATTTTAATCTACCGGACATTTATTTCAGTGATAAAGGGCATTGGGATCTAACTTTGTTTTCTCTCCAAAGTTTTAGTCAGATGTCCCAACACCATTTATTGAATAACCCATATTGCCCCCCTGAGTTGAAATGTCATCTTCACCAAATTATAAATCCCATCTGGGTTTATTCTTGCATAGTTGTTCTTCCAGCTAATTTAGGTCGGGTGATTCCAGGATGGCCTGTCTGAGGGAAGGATACAGTAGGTGAGGTAGGGAATGGGGTAAGGAGACAGAGACAGAGAAGAGAGAGAGAGACAGAGAAGAGAGAGAGATCCAAGCAGAAAAAACTCATTTCTTCGGAATNACAGAGATAGAGACAGAGAAGAGAGAGAGAGATCCAAGCAGAAAAAACTCATTTCTTCGGAATGTTGGGA